ACTATAATTAAACAATAGTGCATATATGAAAATGAGGTTTTATTTTTGTTGTGTACATCTAAACATTGTTTTTAGAGGTCTAAAATCAATGATCTGACTTGCATCACAGCAGCATTCGGTTTTGCCAAAGTCCGCTAAACTCATTACGTAATATTGAGTTAATTTACTATTAAAGATGATTCAGCTGAAGTAAGTAAGATACTTAAAATGTTCGGGTGCACTCGGTCTTTATACTTTTAGATTAAAAATACTATATTTTAACAGCAATTATGTAATAGTCTGAGCTATCGCGGAATATTGCAAAAGTAAATTTTAACAAACCAAAGAATTCTTGTAATTTAAAAATATTGTTTAATTATACTCACTATAATAGTGATACTATTTGTATACCCTATTATCAAAATCCCTTAAATACGTTTTGATGAAAAATGAGAACCATCCCAGGCAACACAGTGACGTGAATATCACGTTTAATTTACGTCTACGGTGACGTCGAAGTCACCAACTTAGACACGTCTTATCGTCGTAAAATTGACGACAATATGTCACAGCGATTTCACGTGTAAAATCACGTAATATTACGTAATTATTTACGTAATTTGACGTAAATAATCACGTAATATTTCTTGAATAATATATGATTAGGTCATACACTGATAAAAACAATTACCGATACTGATATCAAAATTTTAGTTGTACTTTTAAATTTTAAGAAATAAATAGGTAAACCCTACTATATATAGTATATATATACTACTATAGTAGATATATATTTAGTAAATAATTAATAAACAAAATAAATGTAAGTATATAAAAAAGTAGAATATCAAAAAAAATTTGTTAGTTAATCTTTGAAGAAACACTTACATATGTCTGGCATTAAAATATCGGATATAAGAATAAATAATTATTTTTACTAGTGCATAAAGGGCTTTTGGTTTAATAATTAATAAAACATGTTTTAAGTTGCTCAAAACATTTATTATAAAATCAAACACATTAAATTTTAAGACAGATGACAGGTCAATATTTTAGGAGCTTATGTAGGTACTTCATTTAGGTGTTATGACTTCGTTACGGAATATACTGAGTAATTAAAACATTAATAAACAAACAAAAATTGACCTACCTGACACAGCCAAAGTATTATCAGTATAAATGGTTTGTTCTATGTATAAATGCCACAGATTATAAAAGTTGGACGCTTGAATCAACCATATTGTTTTTTAGGAATAAACGTTCCCTCGCTTTGTAAGTAGTGTCAAAGAGAAACAGGGTTGCCAGGTGTAAAAATTAATATTATCGAAGAGGGTTGACAAAATGATCAAATTTACAGAAAATTATATAAAATTATCAAAACAAAAATTGTATAAAAACAAACAAAACTACGCGGCGGATTAAATTATGTTACAATTATCGATTATTATTTAAATTTTACTATTTTAAAAAAAAAAATTATAAAACATCTGGCAACACTGTAGATAAATAATTTTACTAAAATTAAAATTGTGATTGTCAACTGCAGTAACATGTTAATTTCTTATTTTGTGATGAAATGATAAAGGATTTAAAAATCGCGAATTTGTTTTAAAAAATCTATTGATCCAATAATTATTAATCTATCTTAATTAGTTTAAAACCAAATAATGTTTAAAATTATTTTAATAAAATATTGCACGTTGATTCTTCGTCGAAATAACGTAAATTAAATAAAAATAATAATTTTTGTTTTTAAAAATATTCCAAAACTTTTTGTCAGCCCATTAAAACGGGCCAATTGTTTCTTATTAATTATCACTATATTTTCATATTTTCTTAAAAATTTCGTCATCTGTTCACGTGATAATGACGTAATTTATTGGTTATCATCGACCTAAGTTAATAATTGGTCGTGTTTTGGTGAATTTTGAGACGTCGAAAAATGGTTGAAATGTAACTTTGACCAAATTCGACCCAATTCGTCGACGATTCTACGTGATTTCTACGACCCTGTGTTGCCTGGGATGCATTAAAAAATAGGTACTACCTACCTATTAATTTGTGCATTCAAATGGATGAAAAAGCCACGAAATGTATATTTTAATTTTTTTATAAATATCAAGCCATCAAGGCTTTCGCAACCATTTCTATGCACACATTGATAGATAGGAATATTTTAATGCATGCATGTATCTCATTTTTATCAAACGGATTTAAGGGGTTTTGATACTAGAGGATTCATTTATAGTAAATAATATTTATTATATACTATAAATGAATCATCTAGTATCTAGTATCCCCTAGTATCAAAAATATTATAATATATAGGATATAATCATTGACAAGTGAAGCAATTATGTATATATAGGCTCTTTTCATTTCAAAACGACCGGTACGCGCAGGTCATGATTTTGTTTTTCTATGAAACTTAAATATGTTTTTTGTTCGAAATAATGAGGCACGTATTTTTTTGTTTGGCGATTTATTTTTTTGCGGTAAAAATCGATTTTTTCCGTCGACCGAAAAAGCTTTTTTTTAAATGCGTATAACTTGTTCAAAAATTGACCGATTTTGATAATTAAGCAAAATGCTTATACTGATTAACACTTTCCAGTAAAAGTAACAACAATTTTAAATTTATTTTGATAATCTTTTTATACGATAAAAAACGAAAAGTACAGAATTTTTTCAAAATTAAATTTTTAAAAAGTGTATTTTTTATTTTTTTTTATCAAAAAGTAGACAATCCAAACTGCATTTTGGCTAAAGGACTGTTAGGCAAAACTTTTCTTTAAGAAGATATGAATTTTTTTACAAATTCTATTTTTTTTCCCTAACCATCGCGTGCTGCTAAATAAATTTTATTTTTAAAGTAAGTTTTATGTGTAATACAAATAAGATTGGAGTTTAAAGTTCATTGTGGGATAATCGTTTTAAGTGAAAAAACTTGGTGAACTATTTTGTTTAAAATCAAATTTTCAATGCGAAATACATGAGCATAGACAAGGGATTGGTTTGGGTGAGGAAGATTTAGTACATAGAATGAAATGAAGTTATGACACAACAATCCGTCAAACAATAATTCTATAAGGATCATGGCAATCTTGGTTTACTAGTGCTAAACCAAGATGGCACCTATGTACTAAATGTTCCCCACCCAATAAAATAATAAAACAAAACAAAACCGCCCCAACTCTTAACTCGGACACAGGAAAGCTGACTAGGGCAATAAATCTATTAATAACAAACGACAAAGACTAAACCCATAAATTTAAGTAAACGGCCCAACAAAAAAGCGCTAAACAAAACTATATTAAATAAACACTTTAAATCCAAACGAACATTAAATTAAGAAAACAAAAACACACAAACCGAATTCTATTGGAATTGGTAATTACATTAGTATACAGTGGAAGTCAAAAATACCTCCCACCGGTAACTGTCAAATCGTATCAATTGCACACCAACTGTTTAATACAAAGATAGGATGGCAACGCGAAAGAAAACAGCTGAGACAAGACAATAACAAGTGCAGGAACAACTCGACACGGACAGAGACAATAACGGTCAAGACGTTGACCACGACCAGTAAACTAGGCCCCTGCAGTGAACTAACAACTCCCCAACTCCAAACAGTAATCCCAAATGTTTGGAGTAATACTAACTTCCCGGTCTAGGGGGTACCCGCGTCGTACTTAGATTTAAGTCGGCGTAATTGTCCCCCAAACACCAAACTGTCTATCCCTCCCGTCCTACCTCCTTCATGACCCTTCTGGGCGTATAGTATCGGCGAACCCGGGAATGGCTACTAAAACTATTGGCATTTCGCTCTCGAGCCCTAATTAGGGGACAGTACGGGACGCAATGGACATTCGCAACCAGCAAACCCGGGTGAAGCCGCGACGTTGCTGGTGGCGAAAGAAAATCCGCGCAAGGAAACAGAGTCCTATGCGGGGCCCGGGAGCGATGAGGTAATGGGTCCGGTTATACGTCTCTTATACTCATACTCATACTCATATAATTTTTTAAATAGTGTTGTTGTTTTATTTTTAGTGCATTTAATTTAAACTTATGATAAATTTACCAAAATGTATATATACTAAAAAAAAATCATTTTTATTATTCCATTACTTATAACTTCAACGGAGTAGTGAATAAAGACCTGGACATAACCTTTGATAGTGAACTATCTTTTAATAACCTTATAAATAACATTGTTTTTTAAATGCCAAGAACTTTAGGATTTAAAGTTTGAAATTGTTAAGATTTTAATAATAAAGTTTTAAAATGTCTACCTTTATAGAAACTTTAAAGCCTTTGTTTAACACTCTCATTAGGTCAAAACTCAAATATGGTGTTTAAATTTGGTTCCCTTATTATGCATAATATGCATGTCATGTCCAACGTATTGAGGTTGTTTAGAATTTTTTTTTAAGCATCGTCTATAAAGAGGATCGAATTTGAAAGAGGCATGGATAATAATATTTTATTAAATAGATTCTTAGAAATACAATTGCTTTAAATTTTTTTCTATTATCTAAAATTGACTGACCACTTCTGTTAAGTTCTTAAGCATTTTTAGTGCCAAGCTTTAACTCAAGAAACTGACCATGAATTTTTATCACTCTGCACTAAAAATTAATATAATGCTATGCTAACCTATATTTAGAATTTGTACATTATTTAATAGCATAAGTAATATCTGTGATATTTACAATTGTACCCTGTCATATATTATTCAATGTTTTTTGGTAGATTTTAATTTATCTGTTACTTTGTTTAACATTTATTATTAAGTATTTTTATAGTATTTCCTGTAATTTGGTGTTATCCCGTGGTAAATATAGAGTTTATTTATATATTAAATGATAATGTGTAATTATAGTATAGTATAATGTAATTTAAATTTTCTCTTAAAAATGTTTCCTTAATTAAGGAACATAAAAGTTTTATTTTTGTAATACATTATATTTATAATTTATATAATACATAAAGTTATACGAACTTTTCCTTATTTCCAGAAAAGCGTTGATAGTATTCTTGATGAAAGCAGAAACTCACGATCGTCACGATCTTTGGATGCAGGCCGTCGTTGGAAGTCGACTAATGAGGATCCACCAGTTCGTCAAAATTCCCTGCTAAAGCATATGCCAAGTAGCAGTAGGCTTATACCTTCACCTGTCACTGATCCCGACATACCAAGCAAAAGCACTAGCAGGTAAATATTAATCTGTATTTAGATGATTTAAATTAGTTTAGATTAATTAGTCCTAAACGAAAAAGCAATGATGCCATCATAATGATGAGTACACAAATATCATTTATTTATAAAATGAACGTTCATTAAACAGTGGCTTAAGTATAACTAGTACCTACCCTGGGTGACACGAATCTTTCAAAGAGTAATAAAAAGCTTAGAGTTTAATTTAATTTAAATTAGATAATAGTTATTTATGGTACTAGTGTGTTATGTTAAAAATAAGTCACGCGAGAAAGATTGAATTCTCAAGTGACTTAGGAAACATAACACACGAGTGGCATACAATGTTTTATCCAACAAGTGGAAGAAATTTTGGTCAAAGTAGGTTGTTTCTTTGGTTGCCACGGGCATGATACATTGTTAGCAAATGTCAGTTTTTCCTGCAGAAAAGGGAAGCTTTTTGAAGAAAAAAACGTATAGAAAATGAAGGAAACCGAAACCGTTCATGAGGATATCCTTACGGAAGCGGAAGAAGCAGCGATGCAGATTTTGTCAGAAAAGTCCCGAGATGCTTACGACAAGGAGTTCAAAATGTTTGAGTCTTGGATGAATTCACGGAAGATAAAAGGTATCGATGAAAATGTTCTATTGGCTTATTTTTACATTTGCAAAAAAATTAGCCCCATCGTCGCTATGGACCAAATAATCGATGCTTCGCTTGACTATTATAAAAAAATCTACATTTTAAAGTATGGCAAACTAACGAGCTTTTTGAAAAGCCAATCACAGGGATACAAACCAAAGAAATAAAAGACATTATAACGACCTGAAATTTTGAACGAAACTCCCAACGACGAGTACCTGTTGATGAAAGTGGCTTTGATAATGGGGATTAGCGGTGCTTGTAGATGCGATGAATTGGTCAATTTGAAAATAGAAAATATTCAAGACAAAGGGAAATATGTTCACGTAGTTTTGCCAAGAAATTGAGAAGTTTTACCATACTTGAAGAAGGATTTCCAGTCAACCCGATCAATTTGTGTAAAAAATACATGTCTTTGAGACCAAAGAATACTAGTTCTAGCCAAAGATAATATTATCTTTGGTTCTAGCCGCTTTTTTGTGGGAATAAATACGTTGTCGAAGATACCTTCGAGAATTACAATGTTTTTGAAATTGGAGGAACCTTTGACCTTTAACGTTTAGTTTGACCTTTAACGTTAAGTTTAAAATACGCTTAAGCAATTTTAAAGCATACCCATTATCGATCGCGGTCCAATCAGAACAGCCGATTTTTGCCTGCATGGTTAACATGTACCACACGATATTAACTTTCTCCAGCCGTTTATTACCATTATCGTTAATGACAGGGAATTATGTTAAGATAGAAATATTACTACTTAAATAAACTGCGCACCACTCAATGTGTCGCGACCAAAAAGTTCACCCTTTTTTAAAACGACATAACTTTTTTGTTTCTTAAACGATTTTATTTTGGTCTGTAATGTCTACTAGCCCCATCCTCTGGCAATTCATGCTATAGATATGAAGCTCACGGTTCTTCAGGTAAATTTTGTACAGGGTGATATGTAAAACGGTGAAAAATTTCAATAACTTCATCCAAGCCCCGTTTGTAACAAAATAATTTTTTTCTCGTTTTTACTTTAAAATAATGAAGTATTATGTTTTGCCTTGTACGTTTTTTCAAATTTTTCGAATTGGAATCTTAGCAACGAAAATATGATTTTTTTCCAAAAGAGTACATTTAAGGGTTTTTGGTAGGCAATACACTCGGTCTTTATAAGAACAATAAGATAAAATGGTGAAAGATTGTTCCTTGAATAATTCTGAACAAGCGACAAGCAACAAACTTAAATTATTTTCAAAGGGACCTAAGCAAAGAACACTTTTTAAAAATAACATTTTGGTGAAAATTTGCGAAAACTAAACCTGAAGCGATATTTACGTTCGTGACATGTTTTCTTTATAATTTTGACCTCCTGATTGTGATTCAGTTGTCAAATTTAAGTTTCAGATAAAACCAAAATCACCAAGAATCGAAATTCGAAAACAATTACCGGCTGTTAAATGTCTTAATAAAATCCGATTGCTGGGGTGTTTTTCGCATATTTATGATTAAAATGCCATTTGGTGATTCATTTTTTGGGCGAAATTTCTGCAATTTGTTTGAGTAGTTAGGATAATGTAACATAAGTTACATTTACATTGCGCACTAGTGATAACTTATCACTGATAAGTACCTACCTAATTGGTAATAAAAAAATGTTTGTTTATTTTGGAAAATTTTATGCCAAAAAATGTAACAAACAATAACAAAAATAACTCATTCTTTCTGAATAGCATTTACCAATTCATCCAAATTTTCCATGAGTCCTTCCCTCTCTTTCATCTTCAGTTTCATCCTGCTCCACACATGCTCAATAGAATTCATATCAGGAGACAAAGGTGGACAATTTATTCTCTCAATATGGTGGTCCCTTAAATACTCATTTACGATATTGGTGCGATGCGGACGGGAATTTTCGTCCACCAACACCAATTATTGGCAACATTTTGAGCATAAGGGACCACGATATCACTAACAACCAAATCTCTATATGTTTAGGACTTTTCATTCATCGTCATTCCACCCCAAACAGTCACCCCTCCACCTCTAAAAGCCACCCTTGCCTCCGGTTTCGTGAAATATTATGCGAACCGTTGATTTGGAGATGTTAATTCCCGTAGCTGCAGCATTGGTATTTTAATCATTTAAAGGAAGAATGGAAGTAACCTGGGTAAGATAGGGGTAGGTATAACTTATGCAAAAAAACTTTTTGAAAAACACAAGCAAACTGAAAAAATCAAGAATATCCCTCATAATGCGTTTTAAATGTTTTTCAAGAATTAATTTTTATTTGAACCTCGATTTAATTATTCAGCGACATGATAATATCGTACTTAAGATGCAAATCACAGCAAAAAAATTGTAAAACTCAGCAATCGTATTTTATTGAGACATTTAACATCCGGGAATTGTTTTCGAATCTTGATTCTTGGTGAATATGGTTTTATCTGAAACTTAAATTTGATAACTGAATCACAATCAGGAGGTCAAAATTATTAATAAAACATGTCACGAACATAAATATCGGTTTAGGTTTAGTTTTCTTAAATTTTCACCAAAATGTTATTTTGAAAAAGTGGTCTTTGCTTAGGCCCTCTGAAAATAATGGAAGTTTGTTGCTTGTCGCTTGTTCAGAATTATTTAAGGAACATTATTTCTCCATCTTATCTTCTTGTTCCTAAAAAGACTGAGTATGTTGCCTACAAAAAAACCTTAAATGTATTTTTTTGAAAAAAAAATCATATTTTCGTTGCTAAGATTCCAATTCGAAAAATTTGAAAAACGGTACAAGGTAAAACATAATACTTCATTATTTTAAAGTAAAAACGAGAAAAAAATTATTTTGTTACAAACGGGGCTTGGATGAAATAATTAAAATTTTTCACCGTTTAACATATCACCCTGTAGGAAATTTACTTGAAGAACCGGGAGCTTCATATCTATAGCATGAATTGCCAAAGGATGAGGCTAGCGGACAACACAGACCAAAATAAAATAGTTCAAGAAACAAAAAAGTTATGTCGTTTTGAAAAAGAACGAACTTTTTGGTCGCGACACATTGAGTGGTGCGCAGTTTAGTTAAGACTAATTTAAGATAATTTACAATATTTTACTGTTTCTAAAAGTAAAATTTCATGTAGGTTCCATGCTTAAATCGCCCATAAAACAAAGAAAGATGCTAAAAGTTTAGCTTAAATCAGCAACACAAAAATAATATTCAACTTTAAAATATTATTAACAAATATAACTAATTTTTATAAGCCCGCTTAATAACTGATATACCTAAGTTCAAACTCCGACTGTGTCAATACTTTTTAAATTTAAATCTACTAATTTGACTATTTCATTTATCAAAATTTGACTATTAGTGACTGCTTTTTGGCCATGAAAATTAGTCAAATATGACTTATAATTAGTAATTTTTGACTAATTCATTTAAAGAGAGGAGTTAATATTATCTAATACATAATATGTATTATTATGCTTAATTTTATTTTAAACTTGCGAGTTGACTTCCTTGGCTTCAACGCGACGATATATATATTATATTATATTACAAAGATAATTTTTATTAACCATGGTAATTATATAATATACATATCGTTAAACCCAAGGTAGTCAACGGTTGACTCCCATGACTGTCAACCCATAAATTTCAAATAATTTATTAAATAGTTCATTAACTTGTATGTATTAAAATGTACATTACGTTAAAAAAATATTAAGTTTATAATAAAATAAATGTGGTTCAAGAAATATTTTGTTATATTTTTTTTATATCCAAAGCCAATGAAATATCATCATTTGAGCTGTCTGCAGGATATCATCTTGAAAGTTTAAAGCTACAGACGGTATACCGTCATAACGTGGGACTCAAATGATATTGATTTTATTACATAATATTCTCACCTATAGTTGGCTCACTAAAGAATTTCGGTTTTAGACAAAGAAAGAGAGTAGACGTGTTATCCGAAATGAGTTCATTCTGAATAAAATATCCCGTATTTGTTTAACTGGTTTAACAGATAATGATTAATATATAAAGATTTATAACCTTTAATTTAATTTATTAATTTTCCAGACTAAAATTTCCAGGCTCTTTGTTCTCGTCATTATAACATATATAACTTCTACAACCCAACGCAAATCACCATTGTATTTTATTAAAAAAACAAACAAAACTCTTTACTTCAATACACAACAGTAGTCACTAGTACATTTAGTATTATTTTACAAAAAGAGCACTTTATTTTAACGATTGTATTACATATAACAACTATCAACCAACTTCAGCCTGTGACTAAAAGGTCATAAAGCCACAATTTGTCAATGTGTATTTAAAAGGTCACTTAGTGTCATGGAAACATGTACGCTAATGGGCGTTTTAAAG